GCGGGCCATAGGTGGGATGAAAAATGACCAAAAATTGGCCAAAAAAAAAAAATCGGCCGATTTTCGGATCGTTAGTTGGTAATCGGTCTTTTTTGCCCTTTTGGATTATCGGTCCTGCTGGAAAATAATCTGCCAAATTTTCCTTCATATTCTATTTGCTCTTTTTCTTTTTTTCTTCATCTGTGCTTCATAAAGAAGAAGGAAAAGAAGAAAAGGAAAAAAAAAAATTGATGAATGAGAAGAAGAAACAGAATTCTTTATGAAGAAGATGAAGAAAAAGAAGAAATTCATCTTCTTCATATATCTATTTCTTCTTTTCTTCATCTTCTTCATATTCTATATCTACGAAGAGGAAAAAAAAAAGAATTTCAGTCCGATATTATATTTTTAAAAGTATAGCAACATTGTATCTATTTGTATCTGAATAGAAACATCTTATCCAAAATTACAAATAGATCATTGCATACATTTTTTCTTCTTCTTCTTCTTCTTCATATTCTATTTCTTCTTCTTCTGCATTCATTTCTTTTCTTCTTTTTATTCATATTCTTTTTCTTCTTCTTTCATTTTCTATTCTTTCATGTCACTGCCGTCATCATGTTGCAACATTGACTTTTTTTTCCATGGTTAACGTCGGCTGATTGAACACCGATTTTTTTTTTTCCAATTTTTTTCCCTGTCTATACCCAGTAATGGTGGATGACCGCATGTGGTGCACTTCTACTTTGACTTCTTTATTGTAGCAATAAAAGGATCCCAGCAACATAAGGAGAGAGGAAATGTGCATTGCCTTTATTGCTACTATAAAGCAGTCTGAATTTATTGCCCACCAACCTGCGGTATTCACTTTCTATTCCTTTTTTGCAGTGATGCACCGGATATTGCATGTTTTTTCCTTCCATACCTGGGCTCAAACTGGCCCCATAAGTGGTCAATGGATGGGTTTCAGGGGGTCCGTGGGGGAGTTAGAACCCAAAAATGGCATCTATATTCAATATCCACAGTCCTTTTCCATTTGTCCCAGTCAATGGTTTCCCATTGAAAGAAATAAGTGGTCAATGAAGGGGGTCCCTGTCACTGTGTATAGTGCCAACCGCTAAATGTCTCTTGACTCGTTGTTGGTCCATATCTGCCATTTAAATTTGTATCATCATTCTCTGCACAACTGCCATCTTGTGCCACCCCATAATAGAAAGTGCTAATTCTCATTCTCTATACCTCCCTCCTAGATTGTAAGCTCCCAGGATCAGGACCTCCTATCCCTCTTGTATTGAACGGTATTGTTGCTGTATTGTCTCCCGTCATATTGTAAAACGCTGAGCAAACTGTTGGTGCCAGGAGCGGACTGACCATTTGGAAACTCGGGCACTGCCCGAGGGCCCGGGGTCAGTGGGGGGCCCCATGAGATGCCCCTGGTACCTTTTTCATAGACTTTTTTGAGTTTGGGCAAGGACACAGGGACCCCATGATCCCCTATTGCCTGGGGGCCCCATGAGTTGTCAGTTCGCCCCTGGATGGCGCTATATAAATCCTGTATAATAATAATAATACACATTGCAGGGATTTTAACAAACTTTGTTGTAGATTCCTACCTTTTGTTATTCTGAAGAAATAGCTGTTTGTTTCTCTGTGTCCATGTGCAGAGTGAATGTGAATGGGAGAGGTTTTAAAATTATCAATCTGCTGCAGCTGCAGGGCTCTACTGAGGAAAGTGTCAGGGTCTGCATCCCTTTAGATGTGTTTACCTTTGAGAGTATCTCACCAAAAATGACATTTTTGTTGCGGGGGATGCTCAAAATTGAATTTGTATCTGAGTGCTGACTTCTGGGGAAATCAGTGAGCCAATCACGCAAGCAGAAAATTACATACCTGGAGGACCTTCAGTACACCATCGCTGTATAGAACACCTCCAGGTTGCCATATTGCATTGCATTTTGCAGAGAATTACACTGCTCCAGACTGAAAAGGAAAGGTCATTTTTTATAACATTCAATTACAATACGACTTGTGTTGCAATTTTGAATGCTATATTATTTATTTATTTATTTATTTATTGCCAATTTTTTTCCCATGAAAGTGGAGTTACCCTTTAAATTTAATTCTTGTAGTGGCCAAGGAGAGAGGGTCTGCATCCATCCTTAAGATGTTATTTCCTTTAGAAGTATATCGCCAAAAATGACTTTTTTTGCAGAAAATGCCCAAAATCTGATTTGTATCTTAGTGCAGACGTCCGGGAAAATCAATGAGCCAATCATACAAGCAGGAAAGGACATTTCTGGGGGGGGGGCGTGCTGTATACCATCTGTGTACAGAACACCTCCAGGCTGCCATATTGCATTTTACAGAAAATTACTGCGGCTGCAGATTGAGTCCTCCTGCACACGGGACGTTTTTACAGCAGCTGTTTTTGGCTTTTGACATTTTTTTCTACAGCCAGTAACCCCCCCAGCATGTTATCCTATGTGTCCATACACACAGAGACTGGAATCAACGTTTTTTTGGCTGGAAAAAACCCCAGAACTAGTGGGATTCTAGGGGAGTTTTTTAGCTGTTACAACCAGGGGCGCACTGACAACTCATGGGGCCCCCGAGCAATAGGGGATCATGGGGCCCCAGTTTCCTTGCCCAAACTCAAAAAGCCTATGAAAAAGGTACCAGGGGCATCTCATGGGGCCCCCTACTGACCCCGGGCCCTCAAGCAGTGCCCAAGTTTCCAAATGGTCAGTCCGCCCCTGATTACAACGTGGTAAAATGCAGCAAACCGGCATATTTGGACTTTTTTTACCCCCCAATTTTTTTTCGTAAAAAATGCTAAAAAACGCACACGTGGGAAAACATCGCTAAATGCTAATGCAAAAACGCTTTTTAACATGACTTTACACAGCTAACGTTACCCGTGTGATCAAAACCCCCCCCCCCCCCAGTGTGCATGAGGGCTGAAAAGGAAAGGTCATTTTTTTTATAACATTCAATTACAATATGACTTCTGTTAGATTTTGTTTTTTATTTGCTAATTGTTTTTCCCCATGAAAGTGGAGTTACCCTTTAAATATTGAACTTCTATCAATATATATCAAATATATCAGAAAACATTGGTTTCTTCATCTCTTCTCCATAGAGGCAATGCCTCCTAACAATCATTCATCGTACCCTGAATCGCCCTTTGCTCATCTGCTCATCCCATCAGTAGAAGCCCAATCAGGCCTTGGCTCCGCCCCCGGAGTGTCAGATAGTCAGCAAACGCAGACGGAACGCGGAGGAGTAGAGGTGAGTTACTTTGTATTTTTCCAACATCCTGGTCTGCCAACGAGCGGAATTTTCTGACACGGCCAGTGACATGTTATCCTTCCAGGTAATTCATGGCGATCGTCTTTCTGTCTAATAATTGTCAGATCTAATAACACTCTTTATATACACCGATCAGCCACAACATTATGACCACTGACAGGTAAAGGGAGTAACATTGATTACCTTGTGACAATGGCATCTGAAAATGGGTGCAATGCTTTAGACAGCAAGTGAACATGTTGTCCCTGAAGTTAATATTTTTAGAGCAGAAAAAATGGGCAAGCGTATAGTTTTAAGCGACTTTGAAAGGGTCAAATTGTAATGGGTCAGATCAAGTCCAAAACTGCAGTTCTTGTGGGATGTTCCTGGTCTGCAGTGGTCCGGACTGACCAAAAGTGGTCCAAGTAAGGAAAAGCGGTGAACCGTGGACAGGGTGATGGGCGGCCAAGTCTCACTTGATACACATGGGGAGTAAAGGTTTGCCCGTGTAGTCAGATCCAATAGAGACGCCATTGTAGCTCAAACTGCTGGATCCAATAGAAAGTGGGTGGGATATATTAAGCAGCAAATGAACATGTTATCCCTGAAGTTGAGGTGTTGAAAGCAGAAAAAATGAGAATTAGTATAAGGATTTGGGAAACTTTGACAAAAGTGCCAAATTTTACGGCTTAGATGACTGGGTCAGAGCAACTCCAAAAGTGCAGTTCTTGTGGGATGATCCCGGTCTGCAGTGGTCAGGACCAACCAAAGGTGGTCCAAAGAGGGAAAACCAGTGACAAGGGCATGGGTGGCCAAGGCTCATTGATGAATGTGGGGGAGCGAAGGCTGACCTGTATAGTCCAATCCAATGGAAGAGCTGCTGTAGATCACGTTTCTAAAAAGTGAATGCTGGTTCTGATAGAAAGGCGTCAGAACACACAGAGCCTCGCAGTTTGTTATGTATGAGGTTGCATAGCCACGACCAGCCAGGGTGTCCACAGCCAAATGAGCCGACAAAGGGTATGTGAGCATCAGAACTGGACCACAGAGCAGCGGAAGAAGGTGACCTGGTCTGAAGAATTAAAGAATGGTTTGAGGAATGCAACAATTTTTGCTGTGTTTACTTTGCCTCCAAATTCTCCAGATCTCAATCCAATCGAGTATCTGTGGGATGTGCTGGAAAAAAGTCAAGTCCAATCCATGGATGCCCCACCTCCAACTTACAGGACATAAAGTGTATTAAACCCAGGACCCTGCATTCACTATATCCGGTCTCCCCAGACCCCGCATTCACTATATCCGGTCTCCCCGGACCCTGCATTCACTATATCTGGTCTCCCCAGACCCCGCATTCACTATACTGCTCTCCCCCCGAACCCTGCATTCACTATATCTACCCTGCATTCTCGCTCTCCCCGGACCCTGCATTCACTGTATCCGGTCTCCCACTGGACCCTGCATTCACTATATCCTCGCTCTCCTGCCCTGTATCTGGTCTCCCCGACCCTGCATTCACTGTATCCGCTCCCCCCGACCCTGCATTCACTGTATATCCGCTCTCCCCGGACCCTGCATTCACTATATTCTGCTCTCCCCCGGACCCTGCATTCACTGTATCCCTCATTCCCCGGACTATATCCGCTCTCCCCGGACCCTGCATTCACTGTATCTGCTCTCCCCGGACCCTGCATTCACTATATCGCTCTCCCCGGACCCTGCATTCACTGTATCCGCTCTCCCCGGACCCCGCATTCACTATATCCGCTCTCCCCGCCCCGGCTCTCCCCGGACCCTGCATCTCACTATATCCTCTCTCCCCGGACCCCGCATTCACTGTATCCCCCGCTCTCCCCGGACCCCGCATTCACTGTATCCGCTCTCCCCGGACCCCGCATTCACTGTATCCGGTCTCTCCCCGGACCCTGCATTCACTATATCCGGTCTCCCCGGACCCTGCATTCACTATATCCGGTCTCCCCGGACCCCGCATTCACTACATCCGCTCTCCCCGGACCCTGAATTCACTATATCTGCTCTCCCCGGACCCTGCATTCACTATATCCGCTCTCCCCCTCGGACCCGGCATTCACTATATCCGCTCTCCCCGGACCCGGCATTCACTATATCTAGTCTCCCCGGACCCTGCATTCACACTATCTGGTCTCCCACAGCAGGGGTGGACTGACAACTCATAGGGCCCCCGGGCAATAGTGGATCATGGGTCCCCTGTGTCCTTGTCCAAACTCAAAAAAGCCTATGAAAAAGGTACCAGGGGCATCTCATGGGGCCCCCTACTGACCCCGGGCCCTCGGGCGGGCAGTGCCCAAGTTTCCAAATGGTCAGTCCGCCCCTGTCCCACAGTACACACAACATGAAAATGCAATTGTTTTCGTAAATATAAACTGCTAAATCCCTTTTCTCATCAGCAGTATAGAGCAGTCTTGTGACTTCTATCAGTGTCCAGCCGAGCACGGGTTAAAGCTTGTAGGAGGAGTTTTGGGTGTATTGTTGCTGGAAGGGACCTATTGTTGAGGGAGGAGTCTCTTGTTGCTGTGGGGGTCTATTGTTGCTGGGAGGGATCTATTGTTTAGGGAGGAGTCTCTTGCTGCTGGAGGGATATTTTTGCTGGAAGGGATCTACTGTTGAGGGAGGGGTCTCATATTTATAGCTGCTGGAAGGTCTAATAATGCTAGCTACTAGAAGATCTATTCTTGCTGGTGGGGGTCTATTGTTCCTTGGGGTTGATCTGTTGTTGCTGGGGGGTGTTTTGTTGCAGGGAGTCTGATGTTGCTGGGACAATCTACTGTTGCTGATGGGGGATCAATTGCTTCTGGGGAGTTCTTTTGTTGGTGGGGAGGGGGGGGGCTATTGTTCCTTGGTGTTGATCTGTTGTTGCAGGGGGTCTGTTGTTGCTGGGGCAATCTACTGTTGCTGATGGGGGATCAATTGTTGCTAGGGAGTTCTATTGTTGGTGGGGAGGGGGGGCTATTGTTCCTTGGGGTTGATCTGTTGTTGCAGGGGGTCTGCTGTTGCTGGGGCAATCTAATTTTGCTGATGGGGGATAAATTGCTGCTGGGGAGTTCTGTTGTTGGTGGGGAGGGGGGCTATTGTTGCTGGCTGCAGGGGATCTATTTTACTGCTTTTTTTGTTATCATTAAAAAATTCAATACAAATGACTTAACAGCATAAAATGATACTTGGTTTTGTTTTCTATAAAAGGGGCGGTACTGGGAGGTGGGTAGCGGGTGGAACAAATGGCTGGTGCTCAGAGGTGGGTAGGGGGTGGAACAAATGGACGGTGCTCGGAGGTGGGTAGGGGGTGGAACAAATGGACGGTGCTCGGAGGTGGGTAGGGGGTCAACAAATGGACGGTGCTCGGAGGTGGGTAGGGGGTCAACAAATGGATGGTGCTCGGAGGTGGGTAGGGGGTAGAACAAATGGATGGTGCTCGGAGGTGGGTAGGGGGTAAACAAATGGACGGTGCTCGGAGGTGGGTAGGGGGTCAACAAATGGATGAACAAACAAATGGACGGTGCTCGGAGGTGGGTAGGGGGGTAAACAAATGGACGGTGCTTGGAGGTGGGTAGCGGGTAGAACAAATGGACGGTGCTTGGAGGTGGGTAGGGGGTAGTCAACAAATGGACGGTGCTCGGAGGTGGGTAGGGGGGTAAACAAATGGACGGTGCTCGGAGGTGGGTAGGGGGTAGAACAAATGGACGGTGCTTGGAGGTGGGTAGCGGATGGAACAAATGGACGGTGCTTGGAGGTGGGTAGCAGGTGGAACAAATGGATGGTGCTTGGAGGTGGGTAGGGGGTGGAACAAATAGACGGTGCTCGGGGGTGGGTAGGGGGGTGGAACAAATGGACGGTGCTTGGGAGTGGGTAGGGGGTGGAGACAAGAGGTGACTCAGAAGGGGGGAGGAGTACCTGCACCTATTCTCGGAGAAACCCTGAGTATATTTATTAAAGATCAGTACAAATAGCACTACAATATTTTATTCTACAGTTCTCGTATCTTTTATCAAGTTTAATTTTTTTCAATTTGTATTTTGAAATCTTGTATGTTTTTCTGTCCTAGTCAGGAGACCATCATTACCAGGATGCCCCCATCATCCGAGATGGCAGGAAAATGCTGTGAAAGTGCTTGCTTTAGTATTTGTGATTGCTTTAGTATTTGTGATGGCCATCTTTGTGGTCTCCTGGGTGCAAAAGGCGTCAAAAACTCCACCTGAGGAAGCGGCTGAAAGAACGGCTAAAGGAGCGGCTGAAGAGACAGCTGGTAATATGCTCATGATAGAATAGTCTCTCGGTGGGAAAGTGAATTATTTTGTACTCCGCAATAGAGCCGACCATTTCCTTATACTTGTAGTACCCCCCCCCCCCCCCCGGACCCCCAGAGGCAGGATGGTACCCTCAGAGACGGGGTGGGCTAAGATTTTCCCAGGGCTGCGTCCATGGCTGAAAGGTGGAGGATGTGTACAAATTGGGTTCCAGTCACTTTAAAGCAGGGGTCACCAAACTTTTCAAACCTAGGGCCAGTTTACTGTCCTGTAGACTTTGCGGGGACGGGACTGTGGCCAGTGAGAGTAGAAACGATCCAAATGTCAGTGGGAGTAAACCATGTCCCTTCCATTGGTGTCAGTGGGAGGAATAGCACCCCATTGTTGGTGTCATTGTGAGGAATTGTGCCCCATCATTGGTGTCACTGGGCCCCATTTTTGGTCTCACTGAGGAACTGTGCCCCACCATTGGTATCATTGGTCCCCATTTTTGGTGTCACTGTGAGGAATACTGTCAGTTTAAGGGCCAGTTTACTGTCCTGTAGACTTCACGGGGGCCGGACTTTGGCCAGTGTTAGTAGAAAAGGTCCAAATGTCAATGGAAGTAAACCATGCCCCTTCCATTGGTGTCAGTGGGAGGAATAGCCCCCCATTGTTGGTGTCATTGTGAGGAATTGTGCCCCATCATTGGTGTCACTGGGCCCCATTTTTGGTCTCACTGAGGAACTGTGCCCCACCATTGGTATCATTGATCTCCATTTTCGGTGTCACTGTGAGGAATAGTGCCAGTTTAAGGGCCAGTTTACTGTCCTGTAGACTTTGCGGGGGCCGGACTTTGGTCAGTGTTAGTAGAAAAGGTCCAAATGTCAGTGGGAGTAAACCATGCCCCTTCTATTGGTGTCAATGGGAGGAATAGCACCCCATCGTTGGTGTCATTGTGAGGAATAGTGCCCCATCATTGGTGTCATTGGGCCCCATTTGTGGTGTCACTGTGAGGAATAGTGCCTCATAATTTGTGTCAGTGGAGGGAATGATATCTCCACAGCCGATCACTATCTCCTTCAACCACTAGGGGCTATCCACTCCTCCTCCCATTTGGTAGATGTTCAGGTAGCCTTGGGGTTCTACCGTTTAGATTGGATAACAGTTGCCTTCATGCTCACCCAAAAATGAATACGCCTCATATATAGTGTAGTAAATCATTAAAAACTTCCGATATTTATTAAAATATTGCACTTACGCCCAACGCGTTGTGCCACTGTCACATGACTTCATCAGGGGATAATGGGGCAGATGAAGTCACGTGACAGTGACGCAACGCGTCAGCCAAAAGTGCAATATTAATGTTATCCAATATACTACACTTTTGGTTTTGGGTCTAATACCTTTTTAAAGTGAATTTCCACCCTGAAAAATAAGTTTCCTCCTCTCCGATCTTTTCCCACTGCGCTACATATTTATCTCTCTTTTCTCTTTTATTTTTGTTTATTAACCTTTTTTTCTGTGCAAAGGTTTCAGTCCCACCCCCTACCTTCTCTTCTGTCTAGGCCGGGGGTTCATTATGGGCTGCAAAAGTGTTATGGTTGCCCTCAAAGGGTCAGTTGTATCTGTAAGTCTAGCTGTCCAGCAGCACCCCACCCCCCTTACATCTGATGTGAATATCCCCCCCCACTCCCCCCCCCCCCCACATACACACAATCACAAGTCAAAAGTCCCCACCCTCTCTTACATCACAGTGCACCCCCCTTGCCTTGTGCTGTTGCCAAGAAGAAGCTGGGGAAGGAGCTGGGAAGCAGAAAGAGCAGAGTCTGGAGGAGGACCAGAGGAGGGCTGGAGTCAGCTCTCGGGAGTCTGATAAATACTGAGACCAGGCGAGGTAGAGACGAGGGGGTGCTGTGGCTGCACAGTGAGGTGCAGGATCTGGAGGAGGTGTTCTGTCCTCCTCTCTTCTGATAACTACTGAGACTGAGGGCGGAGACAGGGGGTGCTGTGGCTGCACAGAGAGGTGCAGGATCTGGAGGAGGTGTTCTGTCCTCCTCTCTTCTGATAACTACTGAGACTGAGGGCGGAGACAGGGGGGTGCCGCAGCTGCAGGAGAGGTGTGATGGCCACCTGAAGTAGCCTGGTGGACCGGATTTTGTGTTTGACACATGTGGTTTAGGTGAATGACGTTCAGCTCTTCCAGCGCCTCCTGGGATATGTGACGCCCAGATCCCAGAAAGCTCCAGCAGCTTTGTATGCCATTCACATAGTCCTCCATTCATAAAAGGAGCAGGGGGGCGGGCCTGGCGACACATCATTGGAAGGCGTTGTCCTGAACATGAAGGAGACGTCAGCCTCATAACGTCACATGAGAACACAGCGGGACCTGAGCGGGGGCAGAAGAGAAGTGGATCTCAGCAGGGAAATGGGTGAGTATTTGAACTGAGGACAACCCAGCATCAGGTAAACAGGGGTAATAAATAAATGGGAGGGAGGCGGGGGGGGGGGGGGGGAAATTTCCTCTTTAAAGTTCAATTTGAATAGAGTTCTTGTCATTCTATCTGTCCCCCTGTAGGAGTCACTGTGGAAGATTTGACTGACTCTGTGCACAAGGCCCTGACTAAGCCCCTCCCGGAGATTCTTAAGGACCCAACCCCTGAGGAACTGAGACAGCTGAAAGACGATCCCCACACCTACATTAATAACGAGGAAAATGTTGAATGTGCTGAGCAGTTTGTCATGAAAAATGAATTCCTAAGAAATGAGACAATGAAAACGGCTGCATCCCATGTGACTACGGAAATGACAAATCAGGGACAAGAGAGGGATG